CACAGGCCCCAACCCCCACTGGGGTGACCAGCCACAGCAGTAACCTCCCCAGTAAACAGCTTAAACTCTCTTGCCTGGCCGAGGCGCGATCCGTCGACCTCGCGAATGCGAGGCCACCACATTACCACTGTACTAGCCAGGAGGCTCAGTTGATTCCTGTATTGGTGTGCTATTCCCTCAGGTGATATTATTAAACCCACCTGAGATGATCATTAAGCATACCTGAGTTCGGAGACTCCACTACCTTCCCTCCATCAGCCTCAAATTGAATTGAGGAATCAGCTGAATATCTAAACTTATCCCCTATTTCATGCTCCAGTAAGATTCATCAGTCGTCTTTGTTCCCCAGTGGCCGTTGTGACAGGGTGGTAGTGTGTGCGACTTTAATTCGTCAAGTTATCGGTTCGAGAACTACCACTTTCTTGTGTTAAGAAGGGCATTCACTCGGGGTAACGGATCCACACTGCCAAACCAAAGTCCTTCGAAAGGAGGCACCGTCTTAGCCCTTACTGAGAAAAGAGAGTCCGAGATGTAAAACCAGATCATTGGTCTTTTTTTCCACAAGGGGTGTTACTCATTAAACCAGCTTGAATGGCAGGTGTTAGGAACAACAGACACCACTATTTCCGTGCCTTAGTACTACAGTACAGCCTAATATATACCTATTCTTGTGCTTGAATGCTTTTTATGGGTGACATCGGGACGGGAAAAGGAACTGGCCCTCATCAGACTTGAGCAGCATGAAAACATAAAGTTAAGAAATTCAGAGATGGGGAATGTTGTGACTTGTCAGATGTGAAGGGATAATGAGAGATGTGTAACGATGCAGCCAGAATATTTGGTGTAGATGTAGGCAGAGTAGAAGAACCGTAAATGAACTAAGACTTAACATCGAACTGTTCCGGACACTCCTTCAGTTGTAGTATCGCAACGGTAATATAGTTACTTCATCTTATATCGTTGGTGACGTACTCATTCAACTGCCTGAGTTAGCAGGGGTTATGAAACAGCAGATATCACCTTTGCTGTTCCTTCCGTAATCTCGTCTTCCTTTAGTTACGGTTCTCTTTCTATGCCTACGTCAACACCGAATATATTCTTGGATATTCGTTGCACATGTCTTTTTATCCCTTCACATCTGACAAGTCACAATACACTCCCGATCTCTGGTTCTCTCTATGTTTTCTTCGTACCCAGGCCTGATGAGGGTAGATTTTTTTTTTTTTGTGCCCGTCCTGGTGTCACAATCATTAAAAAAAAATCTCAACTGCAGTAAATTATATTTAATTTTGTTTGCAAGTATATTAGAAAATGCTGTGAAAATGTGATTGGAAGTCATGACTCTCTCTCTCTCTCTCTCTCTCTCTCTCTCTCTCTCTCTCTCTCTCTCTCTCTCTCTCTCTCTCTCTCTCTCTCTCTCTCTCTCTCACACACACACACACACACACACACACACACACACACACACACACACATATGAAAATAAAGGAGTTAATAATATCCGCAGCCAATTGAGGGAAATTTCAAAGCTTTTTAAAGGCTTCTGTCTCATGTAGCCAGTCAAAACTAATTATCACTAACTATAGAAGTTTTGTAGTCACCGTGGCTCATGCGGTAGCGTCCGCGACTTTGAGGCGTCAGGTTGAGGGTTCGCGCCCCGTCACGGTCTGAGGTTAGCAAGGGCATGCACTCAGGGAAGCGACTACATCTGGCAAATCAAGTCCTTCGCAAGAAGGCAACCGTCCTAGCCCTTGGTAGAAAAGGGAGTCCGTGGCGTAAAACCGGAACATAGAAAATTTATAACATATAACAAGCCTTTAAATATAATTCTATAGCCAGTTAAAGGCGATTTAAAAAAAAATATATTTTAAAAAATCTCTAACTCCTCTGTACATATTCTGTACTCGTATAAGCGCTTGTACATATGGGTACCCTGTTCAATTACGCCAGCAATTGCTCGCTATTGCTGTACATTTAAAGCAGTGGTTCTTAACCTTTTTCAGTATATGCACCCCTTTAAAATCAGCAGTCAGTTCTCGCACCCCCCCTTCCCCGATTTCTGAAATACAAAAAAATGCTAAAAATACAAAGTTCATGTGATATGTATTAATAACAAAACCACGTTTTATTTTTATTCAATCTTCATTCATATAGCTTACATTTTTTCATGACAAAAATCCAGAGTACATATTAATAAAAATGAAATTACATTATATTGCCTGCACTGCACAGCAAACCAAATTATTCATAGGCATCCTCGCACCCCTTAGGAACCGGCCTCGCACCCCCTAGGGGCGCGAGCACTCCTGCTTAAGAATCACTGGTTTAAAGGATGAACTGTTTTTTTTTTTTTTTTTTAATGTTGTGACCACTTACTCTTGATAAATAATTGACCCTCCGAAATTACCGATAATTACCACTCAGATTTAGGCCATACCCCTCAGATAACTGGTTTTTGTCCAATCAGTTTAAGTTAAGCAACGTTGGGTCTGGTCATTACCTGGATGGGTGACCGCCAGGGAACACCATATGCTGTTGGAATATAAGGGTACAGTCGCACGCAGTGGCAGAGTACTCTACTCGTGTGGTGACGGACCCACGGTGGGGCGTTAGCAAGGATATCCATCCTTAATTCCCTGTCCATTGTCCATACCAATATGGTGACGAATGATGAATCAAAACGTAAACAAAGGGCGTTGTATATGCGCATGCGCAAGGGTATTACTGGCACTTGTTGTTGTTGTTGTTGTTCCGGTTTTACGTCACGGACTCGCTTTTCAACCAAGGGCTAGGACAGTTGCATTCTTGCGAAGGACTTGTTTTGTCAGATGTAATCGTTACCCTGAGTGCATGCCCTTGCTAACCTCAGACCGTGGCGGGGCGCGAAGCCTTCGACCTGACGCCTTAATGTCGCGAACGCTACCGCTTGAGCCACTGGTACTGGCACTAATAAAGGTCAGACGCAGTCATGAACCCTGTATTAAGGGGGGTTTACACGGTCAAACGGTTCGTCGAACACGGTTCGACAGACAAGCGTTTGAAGTGATGTTCGAACGTGTGAGCGGGGTATTTGGTTGTCGAACACGTTTGAGGAACGTGTTCGACAACCAAATACCCCTTTCACACGTTCGAACATCACTTCAAACACTTGTCTGTCGAACCGCGTTCGACGAACCGTTTGACCGTGTAAACCCCACTTTACCCTGAACCACCGAATCCGAAACAATGAATTTTTTGTCAAAAGATGGCGCTTACTCACGTGTTGCAGAAATCGCTATTTCTACTTCTTCGTCTACATCTTTTCCCACTTTTATGTGGGGTCGAAGTTTCTGGCCAGTGTTCTCCATATGTTTCTGTCCCATACCTCATCACCCAACAAACCTTTAGATCTCAGGTCGTCATTGATGCAATCCTTCCACCTACGCTTTGGTCTTCCCCTCCCTCTCCTACCCTGTATATCCATTTTCATCACCCTCTTCCCAACATACTGTTCATCCCTCCTAACGACATAACCATACCATCTTAGTCTACTTTCTTGTATCTTATCTGATATTTATCTAACTTTTGAGGTACCTCTAATTACCTCGTTTCTGATCTTATCGATTCTTGTCACCCCACACATCCATCTCAACATCCTCATCTCTGCTATTTCTACACACGATGTTACTTGAGATTCACTGGCTCAGATTATTTATGTTAGTGAAAAGCAACTCCTGATATTTTAGTGCGATTGTACATTCACGTTTTAAATATTTATATGCATTGGTCACTGACCGTGTTGGAAATCCTCGGATAGTGTCTTAAGGGGGGTTTACACGGTCAAACGGTTTGTCGAACGCGGTTCGACAGGTAAGTGTTTGAAGTGATGTTCGAACGTGTGAACGGGGTATTTGATAGTCGAACACGTTTGTCGAACGTGTTCGACAGCCAAATACCCCGTTCACACGTTCGAACATCACTTCAAACACCTACCTGTCTGGCCGTGTTCGACGAACCGTTTGACCGTGTAAACCCCCTTTAGTTTGGTGTCAGTGGTAGTGGTTTGACACTTGTGCCAAATATTTATTCTTAACCGTAATCCATTTCGTTAATATTAGCCCTGTTATTGTTAGACCAGCGAGATTTTATGCAGTTATGTTGATCTTTCTAAATGAAAGTGTTTTACCACGTTTTGTCGACATTTGTTCTTTTAACCCTCTCCTAAAGTTGCTGTGCATTTCATTTTGTTTGTATCAGTGAGAGGTACGTTTTGCTCGAGGCGATTATCGCTCAACGATGATCGTTCATGGTCCAACGATGATCGTCAAACGATTGTCTAGAACACTCATTCTTTGTTTTTGAATGGGATTGTTTTGCGGTAGTCGCTCGAAGCAAAACAGACCGAATCATAAACAAAGAATGAGTGCTTTAGACAATCGTTTGACGATCATCGTTGAGCCATGAACGATCGTCGTTGAGCGATAATCGCCTCGAGCAAAACGTGCCTTAAAATGCGAGTGTTTTACCACGTCACCATAGAATTTATTCTTTATCTAATAACCCTTTATGTAAAGGTTATTCTTATTTTCCTTATGTGAGTTAAACTTCACCTTTAGTTTTTATTTTTTTTTCCGTTTCATGCGTCTCAGTTAGTTCCCTTTTTGGGAATGGACACACGGATTGAAGCTGGGGAATTAAGGTTGGATACCCTTCCTAACTCCCCGCTGCGGACTCGAACATGCATCCATCACCTCCCGAATTGAGCACTGCCACTACTCTACGGCGGCTCCCTTATATGCCAACAGCATCTGGTGGTTCCCGGTACTCACCCATTCAAGTGCTGACCAGATCCAGCGCTACTTAGCTTGGGTGATTGGATAAAAAGCGGTGTATCCAACGTCGCATGGCCGGTTTTACGTCACACACTCCCTCTTCTACTAAGGGCTAGGACGGTGTCTTCTTGCGAAGGACTTTGCTTTTGGCAGGTGCAACCGTTACCCTGAGTGCATGACTTTTCTAAC